CCATTTCTCTGACGGCATCTAAATTTAAATTTGCCTGAGAGGTTGATGTTCCCGCTGAAGGATTCGAGGTAGAAGCTATATCCTGTTGAGGAATTTCTTCTGTCCTGTTTGCATCAAAATTCCTGGCTTTAGATGATGATCTTGTTGTAATTGCGGAAGTTGATTTCTGAGAAGCTGAAGAATTGGACGATTTAATATCCTTAATAATTTTAACACCACAAACCGGGCAATCCGAATGAGTTTTTATGTAACTGTTAATGCATATCTTATGAAACGAATGTCTGCATATGGTTTCAGACAAAACTGAGGGACTCTGAATCGCAGAACTGCATATTTTACATATTAGACAATTATCCACTACGACTGGACCACCAGAAGCCATATCATCAGAACTCCTTTCAAGAGGCATTATTAACAAAAAATCTCAAAATCAAAAGGACAACAAGTGAATGGTAACAAATGAAGAAATATCCTAAATTTAATAATTAAATTATTAAGCAAAATGAAAAGTACTAAATAGGAAAATAATTATTTTTTTACAAGTTTAATTTGTTCAGGAGATCAGAAATTACATAGGGCAATGAATAAAAAAATAAATAATCAAAATTTGAGGAAATAGCAGAAAAGAGAAAGAGGCAAGAAAGATATAGAAATAGAAAGGACTATAGACTTTCATTTTCGATGGTTAAAAACATAATCTTTAACGTTTTTAAATTCCAAGTCGCAAAAATTGATAGAAGTAGAAGCTTCTTATAAGGCCTTAGAATTGAAGTCAGAATTAGACCAACCTCCAAAATCTGCATTCATTCAAACCTAATACCAGAAAGAACCTTCTACAAAGAATATAAAGAGAACAAGTCAACAGAACTTCTGGTTATAAACTTAAGCACAACTGCATATCAAATTTATAAATTCCAAAGAAAGTTTGTTAACAAGACGTATGAAAAATGAAGAAGGGAAATGAAAGGATTAAAAGAAGAAAGGACCTGAGTGATAAAACTATGATATAAACTATATCAAGTCGTTTTGTGTCTAAAAATCTAAAATATACTCATCACTCGGGCCCCACGTTGGGCGCCAACATAGCTGTAGCATGCATGGGTTAAATCGATTACAATTTTCCTGTAGATATTTTCAGATGAATCATATGGCCTGGCACGCATAGTTCACCAGCCTTATTGCTCGTCATTGGGGTGGGATCTTGCCTAAATTCATCAAGAAATTATGCCAACTACCAGTCTATTTAATTATAATGCGTGCATAAATGATAGAAAGAAGTACAAGAAGGAAAGAGATATATGAAGAAGGATATCTATAGTCCAAAGCAAAATATCGAAAAGAGGAGTCTATTTCCTTCATAATTTGATAATGCCATGCTTAGCTGTAGATGCATGGTTAGCCCTCCCATCCTGTTTGCCATGAAAATCCAAAAAAACAAAAATAAATTGTTTAACACATATGGCAAACCCATATTTGTTTACCCTATGTTACTTTTCTGACCCCTGTTTCAAATTAAACATAGAACATTCGTTTAGCACATGGTTAACAATACCAAAAATTTATTGAAAATAAAATTCATTATAACTACTCAAAAAGAAACAATTCAGATAAATGTTGAAAATCCTAAATTTATAAAGATTTTAAAATTCAATATTTTTTGAAACTATCATATTTATCACCGATATCAAATACTTGACCAATTACTAATAATTTCCACAAAAAAATCAGAAAAAACTAAAAAGCTAAATAATTACGTATCAAATTATACTAAATGTATATCTATAAAATTATATTATTGAAAAACATAAGTTAAAATTTTTAAATTTTTCAAAAAAAATAGAATTTCAAAATTCAGAAACAAAATTCGGGCTTGAACGTTAGATGTTAAATTGAAAAAAAAAGAATCTTTAATCAGTTCTGTATATGTTTGTGTGTTTCTGTTTCCTTCATGTGAACAGCTGTTAAGTACATTGACCTTTTACAGCCATCATCAACACAAGCACAAATTATTGCAATCGGAGATTTTTTTATATTTTCATTTCAAGTTAAATTATTTAAAGATCATTCCCCAAAAATAAATTCATATGTAAAGCAAATGGGTTTCAATAAATATACAATGTTGGATTCGTTATTGAAAGCAAAACAAAATAAAATTAATTTAAAATAAGAAAGAAAATCATTATCAAAGAATACATTAAAGCAGTGCTTTTCAAACTATGTTCTCTCAACAACATAGTTAACAGCGCCAATTGTTCGCAACAGCGAGCTGCCTGTTAACCCAATACTTAACATTAACACATCCAACACTTGTACATTTTTTTGCATAGCGAGTAAAATTCAAACAATCATCAACATCCGTATCCTTTAGAAATATTTTAATTGCAAAACAAGTAATTTTAAAGCCATTTAAAAAGTTTTATGATCATTTTATAATATCAGCAAAATATTTGCAAATTTAAAAATATCAATGCAAATATTTTGTGGAACGTGAGAGCAATAACGGTTCACCCACTTACTCTCTGTACAATAGATCGATTGGTTGGTTGATGGTGGTTTGATGGAAGTTAAAGAGAGTTAACTTACTTTGAATATGTCGGAGCTCCCACGTTGAAAGGCCTTCCAGAATGGGTTGGTTGATATTTACAACAGCAAACTCCCGCAAATTAACCAATTTAACAGTCGTTGGATCTGTTCTCTCTTCTCAAACAAAACACTTATCATATGAACTTTTAACAGAGAATGATCTTCACTTTGATCTGTACTTTTCTTATTTTGTTCTCTGGCCTTCAATTTGGTTAACCACACAAACACTCACTTTCGTTTCAATGCCGAATGTTTCTGATTTTTTTACATTTTTTCTTTCTTTTTTTTTTAGAAAACTAATGCAACCAATAAAAAATATATGGGTATTAATAATAATTTTGACGGGATAAACTACCAATATAGCGTAATATTTAAATTTTTGGTTTTTTTTTTCTTCACTTGGTATACCCGCACTCAAATATTAATAATTATAAGATTTCCAAAAAAACTACCGATCGCTTTAAAGCCTACGAAACCACTAAACACTGAAAGTTGTTGAAGAAGTTTGGCAGACATAACAGCTTGTGGACGGCATCGGTGTATCAAGGCAGGGAAATAAGGGGGAATCCTTAAACCAAAGAGGAATGACAAAATTAAAACTATGGCAAAAGAGAGACATCTCCTATAGAAGATCTTACCAAGTGAAAACAACGACATGGAGCATATATGGTACTGCTGCCAAGTAAAAAAAACAGGAACTCCAAAGAATCCAATAAAAAGATGTATCTGGGCCACCAGTTAAGTTTCAGTATTGCAAGTTTTTTTAGAGTTCCTTGCTCCGGCAAGAATTTATTCCAACAATCGTGGAAACAGGCAAAAGAAAATTATTTCACCAACAATTACAACCACACTTGAAAACTGGCTGGCTGTTTTACAAACAATTAGGAAAACTTCAAAGTTTTTTTTTTTTGATTAAAAATTTTTGGTTATGACTTGCAAAAATGCAAAAAAAATAAACTTTTCTTTTCAAACTTTCAAATAACTTTGCAGGTGAACAGCTTCGAGGTTAAGATAAAATGATCAAAATGTCTCCTCAGTTACCCCCTTTTGTATCCTCGGCTAAAACCAATCAAAAACGGCTGAATAACCAATACTATCTTAAATTTCCAAAAACAATTATGGCGACTTTTCTAGCACAAAGACATGGTAAAAGCACTCAGTTGAGGTGTTGTGCATGTACAAATGTATGAAATAAGAACATACCAAAAAAAAAGGTTAAAGAAAGTTTCACCACTATCATCAAAAAAAAATTATAGCATTTCCCCTTATGGCAAATTATAGCATTCAGAAGTGAAGGTGAACTTCAATCTGCTATAATTTGTTGAAATTAAATTTTATGTTTCAAAATGAATTTAATTACCATTAAGAAAATAAAAAAAATAAAAAGACAAAAAAAATAATAATAATGTCGGGGCTGGGATTTGAACCTGGTTCTCCCGGTCCATAGGCAGAAGCTCTTCCACTGAGCTATAACACATCTCGAAGTCGGTTCAGCTAAGTAAGATCAACATGCGATCGCGAACAGCATTATAGATTTAATGGAATGCATTAAGGGAAAAATGGCATTACATCAATGTAATGAACCAATAGAAACGTAACAAAGCAAACAAACAAAACAAAAAAAAAAAACTATAGACTAGAATCTCACAACAACGAGATCAAACGGTTGAAGAGGCGATCATGTGGATCGAAAAGTACGATCTAGTAATTATGTGTAGTGATATGTAACTAAATGTTAATTAACATTGCGTTACACTGCAATGCTTCACCAGAGCTGTCCAATCCCTAGTTGTGAGGGTGCCAAAGAAAACATTAATATTTTTCAACTGAAAATCTATATGCGCCACTACACAAGTCTTTTATTAGGACACATATTCATTTCATGTTTTTATGTTTTATACGATTCTTTGTCCAAGGACAACAAATTAAAATATGTTACTTTTAGAATTTTCCATTTGAGTTTTTCTATTATTATATCTTGTGAGGCTTTATTTTGTGTTTAAAAATTGGCTACTTTAAAATTTATATATTCATAAAATATATAAATTTAATTTATATATAAAATATATATGGAACACATTCAGTCCATAAAAATATCCTACGAAGGGGCTGAAGTTGTGTTGTGAAAATTTTACACATCTTCCATATTAAAAATAAATGGATCAAACTTTAAGATAAAATAGAACAGTATTTTGTTGTTTCAAAATAGTCAGATTTAATCCCATTATTGTTGTTCTTAAAAAATAAAATATTAACCTTATAATATATATGCATTACAGCCTTACACCACCGTCTTTTTTTAGGTATATTTAATGGAATTGGCAATTTAAATCCACTGGACTTACTCCGCTGAACTGTAAACTAACTATTATCCAAAATCGAAAGAAACAGCTAAATATTCATTGTTTTATTATTAATATAAATTATATTTTACTATACACCAGTCAAATTTAACTAAATATTCTTTTTTTTACTCCTAAATTATCAACTAAACAATACATAAACAAATGTAACTTATCATTCTATAAGGATATATATAATTGGATGGTTTGGGTTACTAGTTCCTAAACATAGCTTAAAAAAGAAATAATAAACAAAACGAAAAATTTCCGAAAAACAAAGCAAACTTTCCACAGAAAGTTTTGTTCTTTTCAAAAGAAAGTAAAACAAAGGCTGACAAAGGCCATCGGCATCTCAACGAACTCTTTTTACTGTAAAATCAAATCTCTTCTTGTAAACGAAAGAGACTATTCAGTAATTTTCATAGATTGTGCCGATGGCGACCCAACGAAGACGTCGTGTGCATGGACGAAGCGGAGGCAACGGCATGCCGACAGTTTTCGATGAGTAAACTGCTGCCGTTGTCCACATGGTTATCACAAGTCAGGGAGGGTTTCTCTGTCATGTGGGCCCGTTTGACGGGACGCTTGCGCTCCACTTCGTTGTTGGCATTCAATTCGACCGTCTGCAGGCTTTGTGCCCGCTGTAGAGATAGGCGCAATGGTTTTTTGGGCGGTGTCGGTCTAACGGTGCGGGCCTCTGACATGGTGTCCCTGGACTGTTGAGCCCGCAATCGAGGATGATGTGTCTCATTGTCACTATCAAAGTCCAAAGATTTGACACTGCGCATATCGCAATTTAGACGGGCTCGCAATGTGTGGATGTCAGTGCTGCGTGGAGTATCACGGCGGCGTTCGCAATACCTACAACAAGAGAAGAAACAAGATAATGAATGTCTATAAATTGCTGATATATCGAGATGACCCTTACCCATTCATGTGATTTAAATGTTCCACGCTTCGGGCATGCAATTGACTTCTGCTGCTTACACTATTTCGGTCGTAGCGTTCCTTCTGCCTCTCCTTGTCTTTTCTGTGACTAGCATTGGAATCACTGTTTACTGATATTTTGGAGGAGGAGAGAGCTTTGTTGGAGATCATGACATTTATATCATGCTGACTATTTTCACGTATCAATGTTTTGGTTATGTGGGCAGCCGATTTGCTCTTGGTCAGGACATTGTGTCGTTTGATTTCGATTTCTGGTGGCGTGGGTGTGTCATCGCCCAACAGCTCAATTGGTTTGCCTCCCACCAGAGTGGTAATGTAATTGCCTCTTTGGAATATCAACGGTTTATCTGGTGGTGTGGATGGTGGCGATGATATGCTTATGCTCGTAACATGACCATGTAATTGGTTTTCCTGCTGTTGCTGCTGTTGTTGCAGTTGCTGAAGCGTTTGCTGATGCTGGAGTTGTAGCTGCAGTTGTTCGTTTTCATGTTTGCTGGCCTGCAGCTCTTTGACTTGTTCCTCCAAATAGGAAATTCGATGTTGCAAACGCAAGTTGTTTTCCTTTTCCTGATCCAATTGTTTTTGTGGTATGGCGGCTGGTTTTCTTCGTAGCACCACCAGTTGACATTTTCCCGTATTGCCGATGGATTTTTGAAATTCTTCTTTGGTTTTGCAAGCGACTAATTTGCCATTTACCTCTATAATACGATCTCCCTTGTAGAGACCATCGCCCTCCAAGGCCCACTCGACATAGAACACACCAGACCCCTCGGGTATTTCCTGTGAAGCCCATCGGCCGGTAGTTGCCTGGACAGCATGTAACCCGACTGAGACTCCGCCGCTGAGGAGGCTATAAAAAGAGATTACTTTGGTTTAACAACTTTCAAAACAAATGCAAAAAATGACATGGAACTGAAGTTCCGACATTTGATAAAGACTGCAAACTCTTCGTAGAAACTTACTTGTATAGGCTTTGGGGTTGGACCTTCGATTTCTCTAGACGTGCCTGCAAGGCCCGAGCCTCTTCGACTATTGAAAGTAACTGCAACTCTTCACGGCCCAAAGCATACTCCAGTTCTGCTTGTCTTATGCGTACATCTATGTTACTGTGGAGCAAAGAAATTGGACTTTAGAAACTCCCTATTTCCCCAGGAGGTAGAACTTACTCTGTAATATCTAATTTATCCAGGGCTCCTTTTAGATTCTTAATTTTAATTTTCTTATTTTCGGCTTCTGTTTTGAGTTTCTGTAGCTTTTGCTCGGCCGCCGGTTTATCGGCTTCATCCAGCGGCGGGCCAGAAGGTCGTGGCAGTTTTCCCAAACATAATTGAATGCGTAGATTTTGAATGACCGTTTCACGATCCTGCAAGGCCGAACGTAGTTCTTTGCATTCTCCTCGTGATGAACGGGATGACAAAGTTCCAGCCAATGAAGAACCTTTGCGTCTTCGTCCTGTGGTAGAGCTATGTGTGAGGCTGGTGCTTAAGTTATCGACATCTACATTGCTTAAGACTTTGGTATTGGTGTTGTCTTGTAATAAACTATATTTGGTTGATTTTGGATTGAGAATGGTCTGCAAATGAAATGAAAGAAAAGGGGAGGTGAATACCAGTGAAGCTAAACATCGTTGCGGATAAGAGTAAAAGGGAAATTCCGTTAAAAAGTTGTTAAAGGAAAACACACAATTGAAGGTTATTGGTTGAGTTGCTTTATTAAAAGGTTAATTGGACTATTTTTAGGGGGGACAATAAACAAATAATTATCAAATAAAAGGTTGTTCAATTATGTTCGCTTTTTACAACAAATCTCAGATATACACATTTTATAGGCATTATTCTTCCTTGGGTATGTCATAAACACCGCATTCCTTGTTGGCTGGCAGGGATTTGTCTGCAGAAGAAAAATTAACATTTATTAGGTCCACAACTTAAACTTGGTTCCACATTTCTTAACTTACCTATCTTCTTGGGATAGGGCAAATTCAAATTGTCCATAATCTTAGTGAATTCCTCCAGAGATTTTGTTAGACGAGGATTGTATCTCTTCTCTTCAAATACTGAACTTTCCAATTGGCCTCTGCAAAGGAGATACAACGACATTTAACATTTATCCCTTAAATATTTCTTAATTTTCAATCTTACTTGTAATCGTGGGCTGGATAGATACGATAATTCTCAGGCAATGAAAATATTTTGCTGTGAACATTTTCGTAGAGGCTCTTCGAGTTGCCCTCTTGGAAATCGGTGCGTCCACATCCTCTAATCAACAAAGTATCTCCCGTAAAGACACAACCTTGTTCGGGTATGACATATGTCATGCAACCGTTGGTGTGACCTGGTGTTGCCAAAGATTCAATGGCATGACGTCCAAATTCAACTTTATCGCCTTCATGAATTTTTATATCAGCTTTGGCACCACTCGCTTCTGAAATCACCGATTTACAGCCGGGCAATAATTGTTTCAACCAACCGCTGCCGGTAATGTGATCAGCATGCATGTGGGTATTAACTGTAATCATAGAGGGTTTGCGGGGCGTAATAGGGATAATAAAATAAATTAATAAGTTTGAAATTAATAAGCGAGGCAATAAAAGGGGAGGATAAAGTGAAGTAAAGTGTTTAACCAAGTGACAGCCTTAGAACGTAATAAATAAAAGTTTCGAATTAATCTGCTACAAAAATGCAAAAAAAAAACGGAAAGTTTTTGGAGAATAAAATTTGTCAGCTGTGGGATGAGTTCTCATATAATGTGTATTTAGCCGGATATGTTCAAACATGCATTGTGGTAACATTCCGAATTATAACAGGAATGGTATATAGTACAATGTAGTTAGTTCATGATGAAATTGGGAATAAAAGTACAACGCGCTATTTTTTCGAAAATAGTTGGGGTTTTGAATTAGAAGAACATTGAGTAATTTTCACATGGGGGACGTAAAGCGAACTTGACCTTTTTTCATATTTACACCCCCGCACTTAATGTTGTCCAGCCCCCTGCCTACGTCGTGTACAGCATAATCCGGATGATATGTAATGAAATCGGTTAAAGAGCTACAAGGCACTAAAATTTTTAGGAAATATTGGGAATGGTAGATATTTTAGGCTCATAGCTGACGTAAACCAGAACATAAACTTGCGATAATTAACTTTCTTACAGTCAGGCACTATATGTGGTCCTCATTTTAAGGCTATAATTTTCTCTTCAGAAGGTTCAGCTACAATTAAAGTAAAATATTTGCTATGAGAGTAGACTTCGGTCGACATTTTCGACTTTCAATATCTATCCTTATGGAAGTGAGAGAATTCAACAAAAATGGCTGGACGAAAGGGGATGCAGCATCTCCAAAAGAATGTGGCCCGTACTCTCGGAGAAGAGAACAAAGTCGTTACTGTCCTTGTCGAAACCTGATTTAAAACTTGTCGTGGGTATTATCACAGGTCACTGCAAGGTGAGGACAATGACCTCAAAATGATATTGACTACTGTAGAATCTGTCAAGACGAAGAAAAAATTGAGATGATCGAACATTTGCTCTTCCACAATGCAGCACCAATTAACGTTAGACACAGGTTGTTAGGAAACAAGTGTCACATAATTTGTCCTCGTTCTCTAACACTGACCCTACATTATTATTCTTCAATTATCCAGAAGACTTTAGTGGCTAAAGACGACTCGGCAAAATTTCTAGCCGCGGATCACCCTCATAACTATATCTCCCATCAGTAATGTCTTCACTGCTTCCACTTTCTTTATTAGGATATTAACAAGGCAAAACTCAAAACAATGAAGTCTCCGAGCGCTTACCAAACGGCAACCGGGCGTCCTTCAACCTAAGCTAACCTAGGAAAATCTAAAAAATGAACTGTAAAAGGTTACCGTTTCTAAGACCGCAAATACAAATATTTTTATAATAGGCCTTTATGTTGTGAATACAAAAACTTGTAAGTTGGTCTGAAATTCTCCCTCAACAATAATTTCAAAATTATATTTCGATAAATCCCAAAATTTCAAAAATTGATTTCCTATCGTTAAGCCTTCTCCTGTGAATTAAATTTAACCAAAAAAAAAATCAATTCATAAAATGAGGGTATTATGGGTTGTTTTAGGGTGAGGGTAAAAAATTGCAGAATATAGGGTCTGATTCTGTATGGTAATACAAACATGAATTCGAAAATTTAATACAATTCCAAATATGATTTTAAAATTTTTGAATTAATCAAAAATTTGAAACAAACTTCTTTGGATTGTCATTCGAGAGAAACAGACCCACAATCCATAGTCCACAATGGACAACCTGCCTATGTGTGAAATGTCATGACTGAACACCTGTTCTGCATTTCTTTATCTCAATCTGAGGTAATACTGTATTTTTCCAAACTAAAATATTCGGTTGATATTGATCTGTGCTCATAAAATTATCAATGCTTGCTGATGACGAACTTGTTTACCCCATATTATGGAATCTTCCGATAAGACAGCTAAACAACAACAACGACAAAAGGGGGCATGACAAATTTCATAATTTTTTTATTGTATTACTCTACTTACCAGCATATTTCAATGTAAAGCCTAAATCCTTGATCAATTGAGCATCGCGTTTGGCCTGTTCCAACACCGGATCGATAATGATGGCTTCATGGGTGGTCAAATCCGCCAATAAATAGGTATAGGTACTGCTTTCCGAATCGAAGAGCTATGACAAACAGAAAATAAGGCCAAATCGCCATCATTAGTAACAAGAGACTATTATCTTTTGAAGATCATTATTTCACTTCCAACTTACCTGACGGAAAAAGAAATCTTCCGAAAAGGGGATGCGAGGAGGTAACATGTTTGCCGGGCAGTGGTGTAAACGGAACTGTGTTTGTTTTAGAAAACTTTGTTGGGGACAGAGATTTTGGTTTGCTATTTTATGGTGGATAGTGGATAAAGCGCGTAGACTTTGAATGGAAATATACTTGGATTGTTGCGCTAACAGTGACTGGCGTAAGGTGGAAAACAGACTAAGCTTTGGCACTCTCATATTTGGAGAACGTTGATTTTTATTCACAGCTCTGTTGTACTAAACGACACTAAGAATAATAATAATAACAATAGTATGAAGAGAGTGGGGAACACGCAACCATTATATGTGTCGAAAATTGTTGGCAGAAGGAGAGTGGAAGGAGGCGATTGTGGGAAATAATAAACCATTTTAGTACTATTAGCAGCTGTAGTGGTAGTTAGATTGATTGTTGTTGCTGTTGTAGAAGTCAATGGCGGCAGAGCCCCATTACTTTATATTCTGGTTTTGTTGTTGGTCAACTTATCTCCATTAACAAAAAAAGTGGAAAAAAAACAAAACTTCTTCCAAGACCAAAGGCCCCAAAACAATCACCCATAGAGGAGGGTGAGGTAATATCTTTGCATGTGTTTGTGCGCGTGTAAACAGACGGTAATTACTAGAATTATATATAGATTTCTGTTTTGAGTTATTTGTCAAATTTCGCACAAGCCAATGTGTTGGCCTCCTGTTTTTAACAGCTGGAATATAAAACACACTCTCTGGGAATAGTTTCACCAATTGTAAAAGAAAGTTGAACACAGCTGCTAATAGTTTGTTGCTTCCCCCTCCTGAACTTTGATGCTACCTACCTGTTTCAGATCACTTCACAATTCGTTTCTTAACTCTTCTAGTTTATGTTTGTTATGTTTACAAATCACTGCTCCTCCCCAACTTGATTGGTCGTTGAGCGATGTACGATGGGATGTGTTGCGTTGACTGCTATCTCTGTGTGACCCGGCAGCACATAAGAAGAACAGCTGTTTGTAAAGAGTTCAACACGTTATGACTGAAAAATCATCTCTGTCTTGGGCCATCGTGGTGAATAAATTGCAAAAGCACACAGAAAGCTTTTAGAATTGAAATCAAAAAGCTTTTGTCTTTTCTCTCGCTCAGTAGTTTTGATTTGACGTTACGTGATCGCCATTCGAATGAACTAAATGGCTGTCGTCCCACCGAATAATGAAAAGATTCTGCTGTATGGAATGCCGTGGAACATCTTAAGAATTTTTAATTTGAAATCCATTTGATTTATTGAGGAATTTTTTACCGACTAACCGTTTTTTTGCGGTTTGCAAAAATTATCGATTGGGTGGTAGAAATAAATTAAATGGTGGCTTATGATGGTAGCAGGAGAGTATCAAAATTGTATTTAATAAAATACGGCGTAAAATGATGGAATTCAGGCTACCATTTACTAATACCGGATTTATATACTTATTAAAATTTTTAATATCAGAGGTATTCTTGAATTCTAGGTTTATTTGCATAAAGGAATAACCAAATAAACACTTGTTTTTAAAATATACTCATTATACCCTCAGTCATATGGCTAGAGAGAGGGTATGCATCATTTGATACGGCCAAAACGTGCCTAGTCGAAATAACGGTTTTAGGCCCTAGGTCTCTTTGGACCAAATCCGTTTCAGAACATTAACAGTCGATCAAGTGATGCCCGTCCGTCTGTCTCTCTGTCTGGCTGGTGTGCACGATAACTCTCGAAGTATCCGATTTGATCCATATTTGGCACATCGTAATATTACAGGGTGAGATAAAAAAATGCAACAAAACACCAACATGCTTTTGTACGCTTGTAAACAATATATTGAGCTGTCACTGGAATAATTTTGATAGCTGTCAGACGCGTGGCTTAGAAATGACAGCAGTCTGAAGTTGGTTGCAGTTTTTTCATCTCATCCGATTTTATCCAAACTTGGTACATCGTAATATTATTGTCAAACTTAGATCGAGTTCGGAGATGGGCAATATCGGTCCACTTCTTCTCAGAAAGAGAAAGGATAATCTGATTTTGCTCCAACTTTGCAAATCCTTATCTTTGCATCAGTGCTAGGTCAGGTGCGAAAATGGACAATATCAGACCACTTCATCAAGTACCTCCCCCACAAAGAGTCAAGTTGTGAATAATTATAACTCTTATAAAATTTGATGGAAGAGTTCGATTGTCTTCAAATTACACACATAGCAATACTTTTCTTAACGCAAGGTCTGGTATGAAGATGGAATATATCGGTCCACTCTTTCTGGCACCTCCCCCACAAAGGGTCAAAATTTTGAATGTCCATGAAGCTCATAAAACGCGAAATTGAAATCCGTTTCCATTCAGACTTGGTACATCTCAATATTTCTATCAACACTAGATCTATTATAAAGATGATAGAGATCGGAACATTCCTTCTGGTACCTCCCCCAGAAAGGTTCAAAATTTTGAATAACCAAAACGATCATAAAACCCGAAATAAGCATCTGGTTATCTTCATATTTCACACATCCCATTATTTCTATTAACTCAAGATCTGCTGTGAAGATGGGATATATCCTTCCTTCTGGTACCTCCCCCACAAAGGGTCAATATTTTGAGTACCCATGAAGCTCAGAAACCTAAGATGAATATGGAATTTATGATTTCGCATATAAATGTTCGATTTCCTTGTGATTTTGCCCGTACCAATATTTTTATCTGTATTAGATGAAGTATGAAAATGTCATACTTCGGTCGACTATATCTGGTAACTCATCACATTTTAACATTTTCTAAAAATTTCACACACAGGGTGCGATGAAAAACCTGCAACCAACTTCAGACTGGTGTCATTTTTAAGCCACTCGTACAACATCTGTTAAAATTATTCCAGTGACAGCTCATTATTTTGTTTATAAGCGTACAAAAGCATTTTGGTGAGCATTTTCCAGACAAAAAGTTATTCGTGATGAAATTCAAGCGTGAAAGTGTGATTTCTTTATGTTTGGCTGGAAACCCCCAAGTGACTATCGTTAGAGCACTCCAGCATTAAAATGTCAATAAATCTTTTGTGTCTCGTACCATCGCTCGTTACCATGATACTGGTAGCGTAGCCCGACGTCAAGGAAGTGGACCGAAGAAACCACCATCTAAGCAGCAATGGTTCGAAAAGTAAAGAAGCGACTTGATTGAAACCCGCGTCGCAGTGGTCGAAAATTGACTCGTGAGCTGAACATATCGCAATATTCCATTCGGCAAATATTAAAACCATTGAAATTCCAAAAAGTGCAAGAACTTACACTGCAACGGAAAGAAAATTGACTCAAAAGAGCTAAAGAGTTGCTTCACTTGGCCGAAAGTGGTAAACAGCCGAATTTGGTTTTCTCCGATGAGAAAAAATTCGTTGTCCAGCAGTTTGTAAACAAACAAAATTATCGTGTTTACTTTCCAAAGAGGTCAGCTGAAAATGTGTACCTTCGGTTGGCTATCAGGACTCAAACTGCATTTCTAGTGCACAATGGCCACCAAAATCTCCGGATACCAATCCGTTGGACTATTGTGTCTGGAGTATTTTGGAATGCAAGGTTGGTACTAAAAAATACCAATGTGTCGATCACATCAAGCAAGCGCTTCGCCGGGAATGGGCGAAATACAGCAAAGCAACATTCGCGTAACGTGTGACGGTTTCATTGGCCGTTTGAAGGCCATATTGCATGCCAAAGGTGAACAATTCGAACAAATCTAAACTAATTCTAAAATTTGATGCTATTTCCGACATGGCTTGCTGTCATTCAAAAAAATTTTAAAAAATTATGTCGTTTAACTTTGTTGCAGTTTTTTTATCTCACCCTCAGAAGTAAAAATATATTTAAATAATCGAACATTGGCTGAGGGTATACATCTGTCGGCAAAACCGTCTGATATTTTTGAACTTGTTACTTATATATTAAGCCGAGTTAAAAATAGTAGTAAAATTAACAGCTTCTGATAGGCTGAAATGTTGATTTTGATTTATTCTCGTATCATGTCGACTTTTTTGATAGTTTTCCATTGCCGTTATTTCAGGGTAAAGCCATTCTCTCAGAGAAAATTTAACAATTCTCTCATTTACTATAATTACCATTAAAATATTTTAATTGCAGTTAATTAGTCAGATGTTTTGAAAGGTTTCAAAATCTTTTTGGATGAATAGTATCCATCCCCTAGATTTAATTATGATGACATTTCTATGGTAGTGATTGCAATTATGAATATCGAAAATACAATTTTCTCCAAATTTGTAATTATTTTGCACACCTGCTTGCGTCTTCATGACGCCAACCATCCACCACCGCCACCTTATATGACGAGGGTGTTATTTAATTTCCTTTTTTTTTGTTCATTGTTGGCGTTGCTGTTTATTTTGGTTATTGTACTTTACTTGATTTCCGGCCAATAATCATAATAATAATAATAATAATTATTATTGTTTTTATCATTTCTTATAAATATTAATATAATTTTAATTTTTATTATATTCGAATTTCGAATCAACGAATAGTTTAAAAAAAGGAAATCAACAAGAATCTATCCTCACGCCAACGAACATGGATGGGATGAGATGGTGGGTACGCATCATGAGAGTGACGTCCGTGATGTTGTTGTTGTTGTTGTTGTTAACATTACGCATACATTACGAGCATAGCATGGCATGGTATACGGTTTGTAATTGCACGCACGCATGCTCATCAGACTTTAAAACTTAATGAACTTCCCCAAGGGGTGAAATGTGGTGGAGGGGGCCCGTCACCCAAAGTAAACACACACACAGCTCAAAACAATTAAAATGAACTGTTTTGAACTCTAGTTTGGCTTTTTTTGTTTGTAATCACAACGGCAAAAGCTTAATTGAAATCATTATTGTTGTTGTTATTGTTGCGTTTTTAAACAATAGACAATGAAGTTTACATTAATTACAATTTTTGTGAGTTTTCATCAGAAACTCCCTCCCCCCATAAACACCGAAAAAAAAGATAAAACAACCGCAAATAAAACATTTTGTTAAAATTGCATGATGTGTTACCTGTCCGCTCTTCCACCTCCCACCCAAGACTCGTGCTGAAATAATGATGATGTTTTAGAGAGATCTCGAGAGGGGGAAGCAAGCAATCAATGCACAAGCGAAACGAAGAAGAAGATGATGGAAATAACGCCAAAACCATTTACGGCGAAAGTAATTATTGAGGCATTAAAAAGTTATCATTCATTCATCATTGCCGCATTTACATTTGCAATAGAATAAATGGCTGTGGATGGACGGACGAATGGATGGATGTGTGGAACCCCCCAAATGAGTTGTTTTAAAGTGCGGCAAAGAAGTCAAATGTTACGAATTAAACGATTGATGAACTTTCTTATTTCAAAATACAAAAACCAAAAAAAAAAAACGTTAGTTTCTTGTTTTTATTGTCGGTGAAAATCGTTGAAGACTTTATTTTATATAAGCGGAAAAAATGGGTGGAGGTGAGATTTCTATTTGCAATCATTGGCAATTATTTCACCTGGAGTCTATCTATCATTTAATCATTTTTTATGGGCAGTCGTTAACACTTTGATAGATGTTTCTTCCACACATCCAAACCGCTTAACCATAAATGTATTGAAAATTAATTAAAAATGATTTTAAAATTTAAACTTTATAGAGTTGTCATGGATGAGTAAGGTATTTCGAAATATAGGCACTATTTATTATCGACGTTGAAGAACAAAAATCACAAAGTCAAAAACTCGATGAAATCAAATTTTAGTATTCAATCGAAGTTCCAATTTGATCTTAAATTCAATCCAATATAATTTAAAAGGGAGGTATGGTAGCAAAAAATAAAATAATTAAATAAAATAAAATTCAACGTAAATTTTACAAAATGACAGAAAAATAGCCATTTCCAAGTGGCCCGGACAATAACAAACTCGAAGCCCCCTTCACGAGATTATTTAAAGGGCTGACCTTTAGAGGGGTTGATTCTTAAAAAGTGGATCGATATTGGCATATGATAAAACTGTCATACAAATACTATGATGTTCTAAGTTTAGACTCCCTGGGTGGTCAAATATTGATAAACAGTTAGTGTATTTATTCAAAATGTTTGAACTTTGTGGGTGGGGATGTGCTGGAAGATGTGATCTGGTATTAACCTACTTGAGAATTTCTAAACAAATTGAAGACTCTGTTCATATTTCAGATTTAGACCGGATGCAGGATATATTCTTCATCAGTATCTACCGTCTGTCTGTGGTACTCTCTTTATCTATATTGTGGTAAAAAAAATTTGGTCATAAGAATTTCATGTCTGAAAGTCTCATAGTCTTATGGGATTAAAAATGGTATATATCGGCTTTCGCCACATTTTTGAAGGGAATAGTCCCTCTTTTAAAGTGTAACTTATCATCCTGCAAAGAATGACTAATGTACAGGGTGAGATAAAAAACTTCAACGAAGTCAAACGCCATAATTTTTACATTTTCTTTTAAATTTTATTGAATGAAAGCAAAAAATGTCGGAAATAGCATCAAATTTTAGAACAAGTTTAGATTTGTTCGAATTAGTCATCTTTGGCACAAATTATGGCCTTCAAACGGCCAATGAAACCGTCACACGCTGTCCGAATGTTGCTCTGCGGTATTTTGGGCCATTGCCGGCGAAACGCTTGTTTGAGGTGATCGACACTTTGGTATTTTTTAGTGCCAACCTAGCTCTCCAAAATGCTCCAGACACAATAGTCCAACGGATTGGTATCCGTAGATTTTGGTGGGCATTGTGCGTTGAAAATGAAGCGAGGAACCTCATTTTGTAACTATTATTGGGTGGCGCGTAGTGAGTCCTGTTGGAATGTCCAAGGTCTGTGGCCAAAATGTTTGCGTGACCAAGGCTTTAATACGCCCTCCAGAATATTTTCGCGATAATATTCGGCATTTATTCTGATGCCAGGGTTCTGATACCATCGGCTGTTATGGCGGCCCACACCATCACCATGGCCGGCTTTTGAGTTCTGGTGGCCAACCGAAGGTGCACATTTTCAGTTGACATCTTTGGCAAGTAAACACGATAATTTTGTTTGTTTACAAACTGCTGGACAACGAATATTTTCTCATCGAAGAAAACCAAATTTGGCAGTTCACCACTTTCGGCCAAGCGAACAAACTCTTTAGCTCTCTTGAGTCTATTTTCTTTCTGTTGTGTTCTTGCACTTTTTGGAATTTCAATGGCTTTACCCCGAGCTCATTTTTCAATATTTGCCGAATGGAATATTGCGAATGATCAGCTCACGAGCCATTTTTCGGCCACCGCAACGCCCTTTTTCTCGTCCTGTAGATCCATGTTCTGGTATAACCCAATATTCGAAACATTGATGATTTTCGACGCCTTTTACAACGTAAATGATTGAAATTTGGTATTTGAGGTATGAAAACAGTTTCTAGTCCCTTGATAGAAAATGATTAGTCCACGATTTCTATTTTATTCACATTTTCTAACAGAATATTCGATGTTTAGAGCTAGATATGAGTGCTCACTGCTGTGGCAGAACAATGTAGGTCCCCGTGTTTTCTATATCCCCTATATAATGTTACCTTTCAGTGAAGTACACAGAAATGCGTTTCTATATCATTAGCCAACTATTAAAATTCCCCTTCTAACGGTCCGGACTCAATCCGACCTGTGTATTTTCCTGGTGCCTCCTGATTTTTAGTATTATGACGGGTTTTCAACATAACATTTTGAAATTCGGTATTTGAGGTTCGTTATGTGTACCATAAACCCCTCTGCTTGCACAGGTTAAGTTCGTAAATGAGTCATGTCGGTCCACGCCTTCGTATCGCCCCCATATAACGGTACCTCCCGATATTCGGTATTTTGATGATTTCAGCAACATTATTCACCGGAATCGTTTCGAATTTCGTATTGGAAGATCTTAATGGGTACTACATCCTATGACAAAATTTTTAGTATGCAGGTCCACGTCTTCGTATGGCCCCCACATAACGGTACCTCCCGATATTCGGTATTTTGATGATTTTTACAACATTTTTCTTCGGATTTGTCCAAAAATTGGTATTTGTAGTTCATAATAGGTTCTAGCTCCGGTGGCGAAACACTATGTATAGGTCTATGTTTTCGTATAGCCCCCACATAATGGTAGCTCCCGATATTCGGTATTTCGATGATTTTTCCAACATTTTCTCACGGATTTTTCTAAAAATTGTTAAAAATCTACCACCGGTGGCAGAACACTGAATATTTAGCTCCACGTTTTCCTATAACGCACATATTGCGATACCCACCGATATTCGATATTTTGATAATCCTAGTCACATTTACCCACGAAATTATTTAAAATTTGATATTTAGAACATTTGGCAGATGACAATCCCTAAAGTATAAAATTCCGTTTCCGTTTTGATATGGCTCCTATACAACGGCCTCACCCACTTTATGTTTTTTTGAAAAGTTTAACAGCATTACCCAAACGGTCTTACTAGTATTTGTAGTTCAAAGTGGAACACAATTGCATTCAGGTTCTTTCATATAAAAATGTTTTCTTTATCCAAAGGAGGAGGTATTAAAAGTTCTCGATCCGGCTGAACTTAAGTTTTTTACTTGTTTTTTCCTAAAATGCATTCCTTTGGCTATAGGATCCAAGTCATTGTGGGAAGTTGTAAAAAGAATTTTTTTTTTAAATTTTATTTTAATATATTTTTAATATTATTTCGAAAAATTGCAGAATACTCGTAAAAATCTTCCTTATCTTCCAAAAAATTCCCATTTACTTAATTTCCAAAATTTTTTTTCATAATAATTTAAATATGTTAAGCATCGGAGGAAACATAATTACCCCTTAGGTAGTGTGGCTTATGACCGAACATAATTAGGCGGTGATTGTGTGGAAATACCCACGCTACGCTTGAAGAAATTATGAGCCATCTGAACTTTGATGACATGTATTATACAATTTTCAAATGGTATATTGTGGGTATCTTGCGTTTGCGACTTCGGGGGAGTATGTTTACATTGATATATTAACATGACAAAATAAGTATACATATTATGATACATACGTGATTTTTTAGCGAAAAAATCCGACATCAAATTTTTAAAGGCTCATTTGAAGCCTTGAAGGTAAGAATACATAAGAAAAATTTCTTTCTGGCAAAAGTCATTAGTTAACTTTATCGTAAAAGAACAAAGGAATACAGGAATTCAATTCCGGACCATAATTTGAACTTGATTAGCCTAAAGTCCTTTGTTCTGTTACGAAAAATCTAGCCAATGACAAATACTCTTATGTATTTCTCATCATCAGAATCATTTTACATTTTTTCATTATCTCTCAAAAAAATCCTGGTACACCCAGGTTAACTCGCTGCTTCGTCCATTCGAATTATAATTACATACATGTGCATAATTAAAAACTTCAATGGAGTTACATAACCACAAATTTCAAAATCCACAAACAACAACTTACCATAGAAGCCGATTTTTGTTTGGCAAATGCACGATGTGCATCCGATATTGGTTCACTAACCACACTGCCGCCGCCGTCCATTGTCGGATCAAGAAATCTGAAAAGAAAAACAAACAAAAAAATGAAAACAAACACAAAAACAAAAATAGATATCAAAATAAAAATGATTACAAGGCCCAGGGAGTAGAACAGCAGAGCAATAATATCTGCGTTTATTGTTGGCCGACAGCCGATGAACAAACGAGCAAATCGTTGCTGACCATGATCTCAGGTCTTCAATTACCAAGTGTAATAATGGTAACTCTTGCAGAACTAAAACTGGAGCATATTCTTGCTGTCATGAGCAAACAATTGCATAATAAATATAAGCATGTAAGACGGCAGAGGTAGGCAGTTACATCTTCTGGAAACCTCACCGCCATCACCGTGCTACCTTTATCCAACAACATGTTGTCTAGTTTGCCTTGTCTTTTTTTTGGTCTCTCTGGTTATGGATGACATCTTGGCAGGCATTCATTGTTTTTTTTTTTTTATTCTCACATTTCAGGAAAATATTCCCACAATCATGGCTAAAATGCAGGAATATGGCCTGAACTGTATTTTCCTTATTCACAAAACATAATTTTTCCGCATCTTCTTCTCACCCCCGTCACGTCTTACCTATAGCCCAGGGCCAATGAAGAAAGTTCATTTCCCATCACAGCGCACACATGGGCAAATTCTCAGGCATTGCAGTGTTCCAAAATGTGCCAACAACTGGGCTCTTCTTTTCGCCTTCTCCTTCTCTCCCCTTCTGTTTGTGTGCACTTTGAATTAATTTATGACCGTTGAAGGGTCTTTTAGACGTTTTTGTTTCACGTTTATCTTCTACGTCTTCTCCATCAGTTGTTTCATAAATTATTGTGGGATTTCTATCATTTCGTCGGTTCAGTTCAGTTCGGTTCGTTCTAAGCCACTGAACTGTAACAGCCACCACGAAAAGCAGCTCTCCCAGTGGCAGACGATGATGTTGCTAAATTATCTTGAACTAAATATTTAGTACAAGTCTGTGGCTTTTGGAACCATGCGCGGGATTATTCCAAGCTTTTCTAATTGCACCTGCCTTGGCTTGAGAAGACATTTTTCATTCACTTCTAAAGTTCCCATACATCTGGGGTAGGGCTCAATTAGTTTTCTAATTGAGATTGTTTTTAATTATTGAAATTGGATTAAGTTTAAGCCACGTTTAAATGTAGAAGTTCAATGTGTGATAATTACCCTCAATTACAACTACATCATTCATCAGAATTTAATGTTGTTTTAGTCATAAAGCGGATAGTGACGTTTTTAGGGGATTTGAAACTAAACGACAGAATATTGAAGCTTTGCATCATAGGAAGGTCTTTGCTATTCGTTTAAAGTATTTGCCAATTACAAGTTGTAAACTTATGTTATCTAAATGCAAGTTTATGAGTTCAAAGTCCGGAAACAACGTAATCGGAGTGCTGGACTATCGTACACAAGGGGTTGGGGGAAAAAATTGTTCAATAACCCAAAGGTACTGCAAGCAACAGCAGGTAAAGAGAGCAATTTTAAAAGCTGAGGTCCTGAGAGTTTGTAAAATATTTCTAAAAAATATTTATACCCTCAGCCATATGGCTACAGAGGGTATATATCATTTGATACGGTCAAAATGTGCCTAGTCGAAATAACGATTTTAGACCCTAGGTCTCTTTGGACCAAATCCGTTTTAGAACAGCGATGTCCGTCCTTCCGTCTGTCTGTCTGTCTGGCTGGCTGATGCGCACGATAGCTCTCGAAGGAAGTGTCCGATTTGGTCTAAACTTGGTACATCGTAATATTTTTGTCAAACTTAGATCGAGTTCGAAGATGGGCAATATCGGTCCACTCCTTCTGGTACCTCCCCCACAAAACGTCGAAATTTAAAAAAAAAAATCATTTTTTGGACAGAATGTGAAAAGATAATCCTATTTTGCTCCAACCTTGCAAATCCTAATATTTGCGTCAGTGCTAGGTCTGCTGCGAAAACGGACAATATCGGTCCACTGCTTCTGGTACCTCCCCCACAAAGGGTCAAAATTTTAAATGATTACATCTCTCATAAAATGTTATGTAAGAGTCCGATTGTCTTCAAATTTCACAGATCCCAATATTCATATCAACCCAAGGTATGGTGTTAAGATGGAATATATCGGACCACTCCTTCAGGTACCTCCCCCACAAATGGTCGAAATTTTCAAAAAATATATATTTTTTGCACAGAAAGAGATATGATAATCTGAGTTTGCTCCAACTTTGCAAATCTTAATATTTGCGTTAGTGCTAGGCCTGGTGCGAGAATGGACAATATCGGTCCACTCCTTCTGGTACTTGCCCCACAAATGGTCAAAATTTTAAATAATTACAACACTCATAAAATGTGATGTAACATTCCGATCGTCTTAAAATTTCACACATCCCAATATTTATATTACCTAAGGTCTGATGTTAAGATAGAATATATCGGTTCAATCCTTCTGGTACCTCCCCCACAAACGGTCGAAATTTTCAAAAAATACATATTTTTTGCACAGAAAGAAAAACGACGAAAAACAAAACGCTCAAAGAAGGCGAAATAAGAATCCGACTCTCTTCAAATTTCACACATACAAACATTTTTGCAAACACAAGATCTGTTGTGAAGATGCTATATACCTGCGAAACCCTTCTGGTACCTCACCCACAAAGAGACACAATATTTAATACTTTTATATGTCATAAATTGCGAAACAACTCAGCGATTCTTTACAACTCTCTCTCTCTCTCTCTCTGAGATGAATATGGAAATTAAGATTTCCCATAAATTGGATATAAATGTTCGATTTTCTTATATATTCATAATACTACTTATATCATATTTATTTAGGTCCGATATGAAATGGACAATATTGCCCCATTCTTTCAAAATCCACCCCATAGAGGGTGAAGAGTTTGAAAATTCATAACAGAAGTCAAAATATGTTTAAATAATCGAACATTGGCTGAGGGTATACATCTGTCGGCAAAACCGACCGATACTTTTTTACTTGTTATAGTAAAAGTTAGCATCAGCTGTTTGGCCAAAGAGAACATGAACTTGAACAAATTCTCTCACTAAACGTAACTGAGTAATTTTTACTCAGAAAGTTATCGAACATGCCTAATGTTAAATATCATTGAAATAATAGAAGTATTTGTATTTCTTGCTAATTAAAAAGCTTTATTCGAAAATTGGAATTTCTAATGAAAATTCAACAGATTGTCATGGCAAAAACGTAGCATATACTGAGAAGCTTAACTTTCAAGGCACCTAAAAATGAGATACGCTTATGTGGTCTACTTTTTGCAGCGGAGACTAGTGGTGTGGATGGCCAATCATTTCGATCATTTTCAACTTATAATTTAAATATGTCTTATGTTTGTCATACCTGAGATAGTATAGCTTGGAAATGCCCATTCACTCTTTTTTTGGAGTACTCCTGTGAAAAAGCAACATAAATCAATTACACTCTATTTTTCTCTTTCACAGTCCAATAAGAATAACTCTTTGAGTCGATTTATGCATGTCAGTCCGTCTGCATGTCAGTCAGGTCGTCCAAGGACGAACCCAATTAAAATTGGTGATAATCCAAATGGAAAATATAAGTCGAAATGACCTGAATTTTGGCCCAACGAACTCAGTTTAGAAGCAAGTACATACAATTTGGAGAAGATCGGTCCAGATATAGCTATAGCTCCCATACATATGTTTCATCCGATTTGGTGTTCAAGTCCTCCACATTCGTAAAATGCACCGCACAAGAATGATGTTTGGTATCAGATATCAGTTACAGCCCAGAAATACATCATCAAATGGCCAATATAAGTCCAAAAGTCCTGAATTTTGGCACATCCGACCAAATTCAGTGTAAAAGCAATTAAATAATATTTGGTGAAAATCGGTCCAGATATAGCTATAGCTTCCATATATATATGATTCATCCGATTTGGTATTTAAGTCCCTCAGATTCGTAATATGCACTCCACAAGAATGATATTTGGTACCAGAAAATCGGTTCAGAATTGCATATGCCTCCCATGTATTAGTTCCCTCTGAAACCAAACTATAACTGCTCTAAAGCCAAACGTTGATAGGTGGTATGATCTACTTTAAAAACATTCTTTTGCAACGGGAGCTCTACTAAATATGTATAGCGGTGATGTAGGGTAACATATAGTCGGCCTCTTCCGCCTTTTCCTTACTGGTTTCACTTGTCTCTATTCTTAGAGTAAACTCCTAATATTTTTCGAGCACTCACTCTTACTCTCACTTAGTGCGAAATTCGGAATATTATGTGAAGAAATTTACATATTTCCATGTTTGTATTCTCGGAGGATTAAACATTCCAACATATCTACATAAAAAAAAATTCCGGCAGTGCCGTTAATTGGTTTAGTTTTTTGTATCTCGGTAAAAACTCTCCTGCTTTCATTCTATTTCACTAAATCTAGAGCTACAGATCAATTTCCCTCCCATTAATATTGGCAGAGCTCAACTTTTACTTTCCCTCCCGATTCTCGGACATGGGAAGCTTAATGATCCATTTTAGCATTAAGTGATCCACTTAAGTGTTCATCATTTCTATATTTACCTGATGCTCATCTGCTGGTTGTTTGCTTTTTAGTGGAGCAATAAAATGTCATAAAAAACACAACTTAGGCTTATGCGACGACAATAATCGCCAACTACAACGACAAACAGCCGCAATAACCGTAAAAAGGTAGCTGCAGTTCAAAGTCAACGCAAAAAAAAGATTATTACAAGGTTTACTTTGTGCCGGAGTGTCTGGCGTTGGCTGGCTGGTTGGTTAGTCAGTTGGTTGGTGGTCTGTTTTTTTTTTTTTTCTAATTTCTACTTGAGAAACAAATTAAGGTCATTTACTTGACAAACCGCCATTTAAACATAACAAAAAAATATGAAATATTATATTTCATAGCCCAATTATATCAACAGCAACAACAACATCAGCTTCGGTCTTTAATTGCCCGCATTAGGGGCTGGTCAAAAGGTTGTTAGCATAAACTTTGGATACAGCTAGG